ATTTGGACAATAAATCTGAACCAGACAGCTGCCTTTGCCTTCGCTTTGGGAAACCACAGATGAAGGCATTGCTGTAATTTCCTAATTCCCCTGATCTCCTGTGAAAATTAGGCACTGAGTTTCTACTTGTGCTTCTGAAACTGTCCCCCTTCAGGAAGCTCTGAACTAGCCCATGACAAGGGTGTTGCATTTAAGGTGCCACATAAGGGTTAAAAGAATATGTAAATTTTTTTGTTTTGTTTTTTGTTTTTTTTTTTTTTTTTTTTGTATCAGGAAGTGCAAGTAAATCCTTGTTTTGGGAGTTTTCACCCAAATTCTCACTGAATGTTGATTAGCGGCACAGTAGAGCTGCTGACAGTTCTTCATCTGGTAACAATGTGGGCTCTCCTGATGAAGCCAAACTTACTTTATGACAACAGTCATGAAGACAAGCTGCAGTTGGAATTCACAGCTGTACTTAGTTTTAGCAGCCATATACAGGAGCATTTAGTAATGCAGAAACAGAAGGACATAGGAATGCCATGAGAAGCAGTAGCCCATAACATTCCCAGAAAGTATCAATCCTCACTGAAAGATTCCCTGTGTAGCTATGAAAACACAATTTTTTGTTTCCAATGATCAGGCTATTAAACTCTCTGGGGGTGGAACTAAATTCTCTTGGCGGTGCCCTCTGCAAGACAGCCGATGTAGTATAACACCAGGCTGGTTTGATCCTGCTGGTGTGGGGCAGCTGCAGTGCTGGAGACACCTGATTGGCGTAACTGGAATAACCCGGGGAAGGGGCTGGAACTGCTTCATGGCCTCTGAGAGGGACCCAGGGCTGCAAGCCAGCACTGTGGGATGAGGCAGGCAGGGAGATGGGTGATCTCCTGTGTCCACCATTGTATCTGTTGTAAATGGATATCTCTATTACTAACCCCTGTCATTCAAAAATGATGGCTTACACAAAATGAACTTAGTTCTAACTTGATTTTTGAGCTCTGAGAACATGTCTTGAGACTTCTTTCTCTAATGGGGAGTGATAGAGATACAGTTGACTTGGATATTCAAATAATGAAAGCTGAGATCTTTCACACCCAGGAGTGGAGGTTTTAAGAAAAAAAGCAAGAAATTTGGAGTGACCTCTGCTAACTTCAAGGGATCTGGCAATGCTGTACACTTGTGATCTCCATTAGGTGTTACACCTAATGCTACCCTCAGTCCCCAAGGCAAAATCTGTTCTGAGATTTTACTTGCTAAAAAGTATATTAATGCTTTGAAATAAATGCAAGGTGAACAGCTACCCCTCATCTACCAATACAGAAGCACTCCAGCAGACACTTGGTTATATGATAAAATGTGTCCATGTAGGAGAGACTCAACCTCTATGCTGGTCATAAACCTGAGGAGAAGTAGAGAAGCACCAACCTACTGCAAGTTCTTTGCAGCTGCAATGGATGATGGGGCAAATTCAACAAAAGCATATCTAATCTCAAGCCATGGGCTCGTCTGATTCCTACCAGCTCTAAAACAGGAAAAGCAGAAGAGACCAATTCAGGTGTGAATCCAGTCTCAAACATGTGACATCCCAGGTCTTCCAAAACAAGTTAGGTTATGAATTAGGTTCCATCAACAAAAAATATCTCAGAAATCATCAAGTGCCATAAAATAAATACAGAATTTTTAGTAGCTGTCTTTTAAGGGCATATATTGTCAAGACTTCAAGCTCTACTAAAAACACAGAGAGATCGGAAACCTGCTCAAAATAAACAACTAAACCAAAAAATGCCCCTATTCTCCTTTTTCAGGTAACCATTTGTTTCCAGAAGTTGGAGCTTTAAATAAAGCATCAACTACTGTGAGAAATGATGCAATTGCAAGATTTGACACTACTGAGGATGCAAAAAAGTGTTGAACAATGTGAAACTATGAAGATTAAACACTAGGTGGAGTAGTTGGACTAGCATGAAATTGAGATTTATAAAACAACTCTAGTAACAGATCCACTGTAAATATTTTGAAATCAGGGGCTTAGTAGCAAGGCACAGCATATGAGAGCATGTTTCTCCAGGAGTGCCAGTTCAGGGAGTTGGACATATGCTGCTGAATTCTTGCTTTGAAAACAGCCACCAGAAGGGTTCTCCCTTCAGCTTCTCTGCTGTGAGGTCCTGAAGCCTCAGCACGAAGAGGTAACGGGTTGGCTCTGCACATTGCTGTGCTGCAGGCACCCCTCAAATAAACATCAAACCGGCTTCACTCTCTGAGGGAAGTAGTTCTGCTTATTTCAGGTGTAAGAAAGGAGGTGATTCTCTTCATGAGCTCCTTTCTCCTTGTCTTCTTTTATTTTTTTTTTTTTTCCATTTTCCCACTCTCTTAGGTTGTCGCAATACTTTGGGAGGCACTGGTGATCCTGCTTCCTTAATCATGGCTTGTGCCAACCTTGCCACTTGTCACTTCATTCCCAACCCCTGCACCATTCCCCCCCATTTTGTGGGCACCACTGTTTGTGCAGCTGCTTGTTGAGCCAGTTTGGAGACCTGGCACAGTGGAAAAGTCACCTGGCCAAAAAAAAAAAAAAAAAAGGATATAATTGAGGTGTCTGTGTGATCTCTGAAACAGCTCTGCTATCTCCAGGGGTGGGATGCCGAGGCAGGGATGAACACTTGTGGGTGGGGGAAGGAAGCAGGGGATAATGGCCACCAAAGAGAGGTCCATGTTATCATAGCCTCTGCAAGAGGCAGAAAGCCTAGTTAGGGCCCAGGACCCCATTCCCCTGAAAATCTACACAGAGACAGAGAACAACACACCAGTGCAAAGTGAAAGGAAGGCAGCACCTCAGTGTGCCTGAGCCGAGCCTTTGGCAGGGGGAGGTTTTACACTCACTCTCCACCTTTGTGAGTAGCTATACGGAGCAGCTGAATGGCGCCAAGCTCTGAGTGCCAGCCACATGTTGCCACAATGCTTTCCATGGTGTGTCCGTGGCCAAGGGGCTGGCAGCCCCCTCTGCCTGATCTCTGTCAAAAGCTTTCCAGCCCTGAGTCATCTGAACTTCCAGCTCCGGGCAGCCCCACCTCCCAGTGCCTCATCAAGTTGAGGGTACAATGTGCAGTCTGTTTGTGAAATGGGGCTTTGGAGGCCTAAAACAAATTGTCCTCGGGGCCCAGGACAGTGGTAGCCATTCTCTCCCCCAGACAGCCCTGTGAGGAGAGCATCTCTTAAGAGCAGCAGTTGGTGAATGCGCTTTTGACCTTTTCAACTTATTGTATTGGTATCTAGCCAAACAATTTAAGTTCATCTGTAGCGTGCGACACTCAGAAAACAGAGGAATGACATGAATGCTGTTTCCTACCAAGTAATAAACTGCCTTTTGTGGTGGAGTGAATGAGGGCTTTGCCACTGATGGCCAGATGCCCCCCTGCACTGTGCAAGCACTGAGAGGAGCAAAGAAAACCTTAAAGGCTTGAGGAGCTCAAACTAGAGGGAGGTATAGAAAAAAAGCTTCCCTCTTTCTTCCCTGTAGGTCACAAGTAGCTCCTCGCAGCGTTTCTTCATGGATGAAATCCTGACCCCACTGCAGCAGGGGGTTTGACACTGACACCAGCGGGGCCATCGCTTCCCCCTGTGTAGTTTGGGGTCTTCTTAAGCCTGAAAGCATCAAAACAAAAGCTTCTCCGGAGCTGCTAAGCACTCTGTGTCAGCTCCTCTGAGTCTTCTGTGGTTGATATTTAGGCCCAAATTTCCTTCAGGGGTTTGCCTATTCCTCCTAGGGGACAGAAGCCCAGACCTGGCCTCAGCATTCTGTGGCCATGGCTCCAGTGTGAGCCTGACAGAAAGGTCAGGTGATAAAGTCAGCACCAACCAAAATCTGTTTAAAAGGTTTTTCTCAAAAAAAAAAAAAAAAGAAAGTAACATTTTCATATTCAAATAACAGTGCTCAGGAAAACATCTGAGTTCAGCTAAACTAAGGTAGATTTTCCTGGACTTGTGTTTAAGTGACTGGAAAAATAGGACTTTTAGCTATTTGGTGCTTTACAAATTGACATGGTGGCATGTGTGAGGTCAGGTACTCAGTAGTCAGAGTCATCAAAACTATAGTTGTCAATAATCCTTTTCTTCAGAACTAGGAAACACTGCTACTGGTCAGTGAAGATATTTAGTGAGATGGAATTTGAATTTCTGTGCTAAAAAAAAAGACTACTTTGAGAGTGATCGGATTCCGGAGCAGTTGTCCAGAGAGGTTGTGGAGTCTCTGTCTGTGGAGATACTAAAAACTTGACTGGACTGAGTCCCGAGCAATCTGCTTTAGCAGATCCTGCCTAAGCAAACTGTTGGACTAGATGATCTCTAGAGGCCCCATCCAACATCAGCTATTCTGTGATTCTGTGATTTTGTGATTCTGTGATTTAGAACACCCATGTTTTTATTTGCACAAACCTGGGAGGCCTTTTTGGTGCAGATCCAGGTTTCCCTTTGGATCTCTGCCCAGCACCTGCTCACAGCCCTGGAAACTCAGAAGGAAGCTTTGCAGGTGACTCTGCAGTGTCTTGATAGAAGCGTATCTCGCAGGGTGCCCAGCTGCTTGATTTTCCAATCTCCTTTCAGGGTGCTCGTAAATACTGAATTAACTTTCTTCTCTACAGGTGGAACACCTAATTCCCATGTTGAACCTGGGGAAATGGTCTTGCAAGCTCCCTTTATGTACCTGTGGTACTGGAGTCACCATTTACAATACAAACCTTGTTTACAACTTATATCCCACTTCCACCTTTTTCAAAGGTTTATGTAGAGCATGGTCTTTATGTTGGTGCTCTGCACAAGGGTGATTCCCACATCCTTCTCATTCTTCCTTTTTGTCTCTCTTCCTGTTGAGAAAGTCCAGTGGCCACCAGAGGCAAGTCTCTACTTTTGAGTTATTTGGATTGTATAGTATGGGTTGTTGACCGACACATTAATTTTAGCTAGTCTTTATGTTGTATTTCTTCCCCCAAAACCTGTGGGACCAAAATCTCTCTTTCTCATAGGAAAAAGGTATAAACCTGACCCACATTGAGTCCCGACCTTCCCGTCTCAACAAGGATGAGTATGAATTCTTCATTAACTTGGAAGGCAAGAATATCCCAGCGCTGGACAAGATCATCAAGTCCTTGAGAAATGATATCGGAGCAACAGTCCATGAGCTTTCACGAACAAAGAAGAAGGACACTGGTAAGGATACACGGACAAGGATTACATTGACAACGGATATTTACATCACATACTTAAATGACTTCTTTTTCCTGTAGCAAAAGAGGTCCTCTTGGATCTCTATGGCTGCATTTCCATACCTCTGCTTATTCTGACTATGTTGTAAGCTTTTTAATTTGGAGATTTTCTCTCCGTGTAAACTGCCACACTCTACCTTTTGCCATGCTTTGACTATGTCTCCTAGGAACTGGTGTTAGGGTGTTATGTTGTCATCTGACTGGTTAGTTGGCATCAGTCACAGTCTCTTAAGCAGCCTTGTTGTGGTAGCTTGTTATACTACCTGCAGAATTTAACAGGGATCAAAGGATGATTGGAGTTACAGGATAAGGGCTCAGCTTGTAAATCCCCAAACAATGGTGCAGGAAGTAGGTACATCTACTTTCTGCTCTATCTTTTGATACACATCTGTAACGTGAAGGAATAACAGGGGTGCAGGTGGGACCTACACAACCTTATTTAATGCAGATAGGTTAGCTTGTCAAGCCCAATGACATGTCCCCTGAATCTCTGACTACCATCTCATAGCCTTTGGACCACCGAAAGCACTGCAGGGCTTGTACACTTTAAGCCTTTTCCTATGTTCTCTGACCACATGAGAATTCAGACAACAAGGATCTTCATGTGGGATGCACTACATCTGTTTGTTTACTGTCCACCCTGATTCAAAAAACCCACATGAACTTGATCAAAATTTAAAAAGGCAAATGGTTCCAGCAGAATCTGCAGCTGCATGCATGGACTTGGCTTGCAGATGGTAGATCAATTCTCCTGAGAAATCCAGGACTTGGTCTGCCTCATTTTCCCTCCCATGCTGTCCCCACAACAAATCTGTGTCTGTTCAGTACCCAGCAGTCAAGCCTCTACAGTGCCATTTTGTGGAAAAAATGTCATCTATTGAAGACTGCCTTTCACCTTCCTAAGGAAGGATGGATTCCTGGAGTCCCCAGGGATGTCACCAGAACGATGTCCTGGAGACATTTACAATGCCTGTGTGTTGTGTATCCCAGCTGGGGAACTACGCCTTCTTGAACATATATCCCAGAGAGCACTCAGGTGAAAAGAAGCTGTATTTTAATATTTAAGTGCTACACAGACCCTGTGGACCCAGTCAGACTTTGCCATCTTGTATAGTGAGTCCATTCAGAGTCAGTCCAATAAAGCCTGCACTGGCAGGTGAGTATGTTACAATTGTGATAGAGCATCTTAAAAATAGATGTAAAATTTTAAATCATAAGGTGGGGAGGAAAGTCCTGCAAGAGGTTATGTGGTTTATCCCCTGGCAAAATGCAGGACCAGCTAAACCATCATCTGCCCTGAGCAGTGGAGATCTGGGCTCCACAGCTCTGCGCTGCAGGGCTGGCCTGCTCTGAGCAGTCTCCCTTGCTGCACTGAGAGCTGATGACTTCTCCCCCTGCCTGCCTTGGACACTGGGAACAGAAGATACTCTTCATCTTTAGACAAGCCTTTTCGGTCTCAGGTGACAGTACCCTGCCCAACCTCAGCCCTCCCTTCTTGGGACACCTGGTTTCTGGGCTTGTGGTTGGTCTTGTTGCTCTTCTCTGGAGAGTGTCCAGTAGATTAGATAAAACCTAGATGCAACTATGGGCTATCAGGACTCCATTGCTCTGGTGAGCAATTTGTTAACTATTTATTAAACCAGGGGTTGCTCATTTGCTGTTTATTTGATGGATCCTTCACACAAAGTCCAGTTGCCTTCCAGATTCTCCTTATTCAGGTAGGAACTGATGGTAAAGGGAAGCATAACAAAACAAAAAGTGTCAGTGAAGTGCTGACGCAGTGCCTTCCCCCATGCCAAATATCTCTGGAACTTCACAAATCATGCTGGCACAAACCTTGTGGTGTAGCAGAGGTGACAAGAGCCCAGTCCTGTGCAAGGCCTGGGATGGAGTGGTGGCATCCTCATGGGGCAGAGGGAGGGATTTCCCTCCTGCACTCCCCAGGGCTGGCATGTCCCTTTGAACACCTGGATTCACTTTCCAATTGGAAAGACCCTGGCTGCTGGCTGGTGCAGCCCCATCCTTGTGGGACTCTTGCACCTCTGGGCTGAGATGAGAGGAGGGAAGGAAAAGTCCCATGGGGTCACCATCCCCCCCACTCCCTCCACTCTCTCCCTCATACAGGTACATGTGAGTCCAACACCATCCATCTGCCTCCCCACTTTTCAAGCTTGTGTGTCCCTCACTCCTGCTATTGAAACTAGGGAGGGTCTGCCATCTACTTTGGTGGGAGCAGGAATAACTCTCCATTCCTGCAAGAAATCTAACTGATGCCAGTTGTAATTCTGCCTTCAGAGGGAAACAAGGAAAGATTTTGTGAGTTTTCCATGCTCCTGATTCTCAGAGATTTGATGGAGTTGAGGCTGCTTGGTACAGTGGTGGCTGTCCAGCATCCAGTCTGAGACATACTTAAATGTCTCTTCAGATAACAGATGTGAATTTAATAGGATTTCAGACTTTAAATACTTTAGGTCTGGATCTTCCTCTTCCTTCCTAGGAACAACATGAAAGGACATTAATACCTTCTTGGGATCAGTGCTGGTAATCCTTTTACTGTTTCCTTTGTGTCCTACCCATGACATTACATTTGAAGATGAAAAAGAAGAAGGCAGCTACTCTTTGGAGTCAGTTCTTTCCATTCATGAGACGAAGGGACAAAAGGTTGATTAGGTGATTTATGATCATGTCAAATTAAAGAGGTTCTCTTTTGGGGGCTTTTTTATTTCCAGAAGAAAGCTACAGGGTTTAGCAGGGATTTCCATTACTTTTATTTTTCTAATTATTATTAAGAAGTTAATAATAAAGTTTATTAAATAATAGAGTCACATATAAGCATAGGCCAGAGTCAAATAGAGATACAGCTCTAAATATCAGTCAAGAAAAGCTTGTGAGTGAAATTCTGACCTCACAGAAGCCAAACTCCCATGGTCAGCTGTAGGATTAGAATTTCACTGCATGTTACTGGATTGATCAAAGGTTTTTTGAGCTAGATTATCCTGTCGGTGCTGCAGAAAGGGACTTGATCCCCTTCTGTCTGAGAGGATAACTTGTGCTTGTTTGTTAGTTTCAGTAATTCAGAAATAGTATAAAGTGGGAGCAATTTATTGCCAAGGAAAGAGAGAAAGATTGATATTTCTTTTTGCCCTTTCCTTTTTCCATTTTTTTTTTTTTTTCCCTCCAGTTTCAACTTCTTTCATGAGCAGAAGGATCCAGTCAAACTGCAATCCCCAAAGGACCACGTTTTGAAAGGCCAAAACAAGCTCTGTTTAGGGGATGAACTGTGGGTGGCAAATTCTGGGCTGAGCCAGCTACAAGGACAGAGTGAGATGGGAACAGCCTGAGCTGTAGGAAGTGTGGTGAGATGCTGTCCTTTATCAGTGATGGCATTAACAAATAACAGGCCTCGTGGTGTCTTTTAGGTCAGCTTGCTTTTCAAATGTATCCTCCTAGCAAATCCAGTCATAATTCACAGATGCGCTTGTGTGAAATTTTATTCCTAAAACACAGAATGAGAACAATATGCTTCCAGGGAGCAAAATCTCATAAATATCGTTTATGGGGATATTGTCACACTCTTCTCAGTGGGCAGGTAAAGGCTGGGAAGGTTTTCTCCTGGAGGCAGTCCAGGCTCCCATGTGACCGATTCTTTCGCTATTGCCTAAAGATGCTATCAGCCTTTCCTTGCTAAGGATTCATTTTGCTCATGCTCATGATTTGAGAAAAAAAACACCCTTATTTTGCTCAGTTTCCTGTAGGAAGCACACAGTGCCATTCTTAGGGCACTGCTTTGTGGACAGTCAGGAAATATCTGTATTCTGCCCCTTCTGTGTGGTTCAGTATTAAACATGTGTGTACGTGCTTTATTGGGCAATGGATAAATGAAATGCTTATTTATTTATTTATTTATTTGTTTGTCTGGTCACCTTAGCTGCTTTTAGGGTCTTTCCTCAATTAAATGAAAAATGTAATTTTGGTTTCCCTTTGACACACCCAAATAGTTACAATTACCAGATTTAGATCAACAGTGTAATTTTAGCTGAGAGCAGGTCAGCAAAGTGCTCTAAATCCAAAGGTAGTTTTAGAACTTCAGATGAGAGCGGCTAGCAGTCACTGGGCCAAAAGCCCTTTGTAGAGATGGGAAGATTTGTTGTGAAAACACAGTGCATGTCTTCATGGCTCTTTTGGGAAACAAGAGGGGTATGTGCAGTCCACTTGGAGCCCATGAAAAAAAAGAATTAAATATTATTTTGTTGCAGCATTAGGGAAATGCAGACAATTTATTGCATTTCTGAGACAGGCTGGGAGCTGATGTTCTGTAGGGGCCTTGTTTGCCAAACCCTGAGGCTGGCCAAAGCATTTGGAACTGTTTAAAAAAGGGCTAAACCTGGGCCTTGAACTGCTATAAATTGCATAGACCTGTCTTTGACCCTCCTCACAATGGTCCAAATGGAAGAGTTCTGCAGAAGTCCTTGCTGCCCCTGCTTTGCTGCCTCTCATATAAATGGCTTATTAGCATTCTGCTAAGCATTTGACCCCATGGTAATTTGGTCACCACTTGGGTGTCCAGCACAATCCCATAAATGCTGCTGTTTCACTTACAGACAAATCAATATTTATTACTGATCAGCCCACGTTTGCTCTTCAGACCTTCACAGAGGCCCAGTGTTGCAACAGCCTGCCCTGGAAATTCATTAATGGCCATGCAGACAGACAGCGAGTCTGGCAGACAGGCTGGAGGAGGATGTTGCAAACAAAATGTGGGATAGATTCAGTCAGGGGGTAATTTGATTTGATCTTTTAAATAGCTGCTGAGAGGGATGAGGACAGCCTCCTGGCACAGCACAGCTAGGCAGAAGGCCCAGTAGTCCTTTTGCACCTTGGTCCCCGACGTGAGGGCTGTATGTACTTGATGCAGTGCCTGCCCTGGGGTTGTGCTCAGGACCATTGATTCTTGTTTCCACGAGAGCTGAGAAGGCTCAGAACTTTCCAGGACCCGACTTAACTTCAGCCATGCTGTTGCAAATAGCACTGCGCATCCTCAGGAATTCCCTTTCACAGCCTGCCCCTTTCATCCAGATCTGTGAGCTCAGAGTTGTGCTCTCTTAGCTACTGCTGATGTGTGGGGGAACCTGGGAGGAGGGCAGAGATCTGCTGAAAATAGGTCAGGTTCCTATAGGGGCTGCATGCCTAGAAAATAAGGTGCTGCTTCTGTGTAGGGGAAAAACAAGCCACCCACCTATGTGTCTGGGACTGACACTGCATCAGCCCAGGGGTCAGTCTGTCCCAGAGCTCATCATGAGCTCTTCACCAAGTACTCTGAGGGTCTTGAGAATAAAATGTATTTGATAAAAGTAAGTCACTTATATATCCATTTTATCCATTCTTGAAGTTGTAGTGATTCAAACACTGCTCACATAGACCTTTCTGATTCAGGGCAGCAAAACCTTACAGACATCACTGCTGGAATCCAGTGCAGACTTCAGCCACTGCCAATTTGCCTGTGCAGCCTGGACACTTCAGGGAATATCATGTCCCTGGCAATAGCAGTTTTTCACTCTAACACTGACAAATCCCTTTCTGTGGGGCTGCCAGACAGCTTTTATTTCCCACTGCCTAATCCCAAAACATTTATCAGCATGCCTCACTCCAACCTGCTAGCAGGGGGTCTGAAGCACAAAACAGCAAAGTGATTCCCCCACCATCACACAGAGCTCAGTGACAGAGCTAGGACATAAACTCAGTTCCCTGCTGCCCAGCTACAAAACAGGGGTGTGATAGCTGGGTGTGCTCACCCTACAGAAGGTGTGAGTGAGTAGTGACTCTTCTCTAGGACTCAAACACACCTTTTTCTAATCGCCCCCTCCGAGTAATTTAGCTCAAGGGGTTGGAGGTGCAGGAAGGTTGCTAACAGCAAGGTATTTCTGGAGAAACTAGAAAGGTAGGGGCGCACACAGCCAGGAGTCTTTTGGGAAGATCTTCCTGGGACTGCTGCTGCCATCTAGTGACTTGTTCAGGTCAGGTTTTTAGGGCAAAGCAGAAGAGCGTGCAGCTCGGAAAGCGGGGGGACCAAAACCCGCTTGTGCTGGGCGGGAGAGGGGGCGGCGCGGCCGGGAGCGCTGCCAGGCCGGGTCTGGGTAGGCCGCGGCCTCCCCCGGCCGGCAGCCACAGCTGCCCGCGCTCCCCGGCTGGCCTGAAGGCTGAGGGTCCCGGCCGGAGCGTTGGATGGAGACAGGCTGGTGGGGGGGGGGACAGTAGGTCAGGTCATTCTGCGTGGGGCTGAGCCGTGGCCGCCCAAAGTGTGCCCTGCAAATCGGCTGCCTTTGCTCCAGCGGCCCACCGGTATGGGTGCCCTCCAAAAACCCGGCACCACAAGTGCCCTCCGTGTTGTTAGGCTCAGCAGAAAGCAAGGCTGAATAGTCCTGAGTGATCTTCTTATCCCGTAGGTCATCTGTCAGGTCTGGGATGGCACCGTGGGGAGCTTGTGCAGCAGCTGCGGGGTGGGGATGGGGTTCACTCCCCCAAAATCAGACGGGGAGGTATGGCTGAGTGACTGTGCCCCTGGCTGAGCAGAGAGCCATGCAGAGGAATGAGCTGTTTTCCAAGCACTGACTGAGCAAGTGATACTCGTTTGTGCAAGAAAGTCACTAAATAAACTGCAAACATTTTGTTGATAAACTGCTGAGAGCACCTGCAGGCCTGTGGGTGATAATTAGCCTTGAAGTCTGTGTTGCTGACTTGTGCTTGGTGTGGGGAGCATATGGGACTTGGTTGCATGGCCTGAGCATGGGGTACATCTTTAGGTGGAGGTCTTGTGTCCTTTCCTTAGAAAAAGCACGGTATAATTGAAAGTGGTACAGAGAGAAGTGATGAGAGTGCTCAAAGAGACCCCATGGTTTCTGTGCCTGAAATACCCAGGCATGGTCTCAGCCAGAAAGACGGATGGTAGATGGAGGGTCTGACAGAGAGCTATGAAATCCTAAGTGTCCTAGAGAAGGTGAATAAAAACAGATGATGTTTGTATGCAGCAAGTAATTAATATCAAATTAAATAATCAAGTTTAAAACAAAAGAGAGTAATTTTTCAGATTACATGTAAGGAAATGATAGAGCTCAGTGCTGCAGAGTTTCCTGGTGTCGGATGTGTACATGGGCTCAAAGAGCAGTTAGTTGTATTTGTGAGAAGTTCCTCACAGGCTATTAAATCCAGGCATGGCTGTAGCCCCTGACTCAGGCAGAAGGGAAGGGGAGGGAAAATGAAAAGGGGCAGGCAGCTGGGGTCAAAGGGACAAAATGGTAAGAATGGGGCAGCAGAAGGGAAGCCTAAGCAAGCCGAACCCAGCAGCACTGGCAGCTCCCAAGATGTGCCCAGCTGCTGGTGGTACCTACTGATGCGCTTCCCGAAGTGATGACAGGGCAAGGGAGGGGAAAGGGCCCACAGTCCCTGCTCTCCTTCCATTGAGCTTCCCTGTCTCAGCGTTGCAGAGGGCTGGGGTGGCCAGGACTGGTGGTGGCTGACAAGGGGGTCTCTGGCTTACTATGCAACTGGATCCTGCTGGAGGAGATGGAAGAGGGAGCTGCAGCCTAGTATAGCCACTGCACGTGTGTGCCAGGCCTCTTGCTGTCGAGGGGACATGTGTCAGGGGACTGCCTGGATGACTGGGTGAATTTGCTTGTGGATTCAGGAAGGAGGTCTGACCTGGGATGACTGCTTCATGTACCTCACAAGCAGCAAAGAGCCTCTCCTCATAGTGCAATTGCCATGAAGACACTTGTCTTCTGCTTTCCTCTATCTGAACACATTATTTCTCGAAAGCCCTGTGATTCTTCCTTGCCCTCCACCTTGTGTTCTTCTGTAAAGGGAGGGCCATATGGGCCTCACCTGCTGTGTAGTCAGTATGGTTTCATTTCATATTCCAGCTGTGCCGTAGGCAGGGCATATAGTATGTGAGTTACAAGGTGATAGAGAACCAGGCCCAGAATGTTAATCAAATGCATGCATCACTGTGTAATGACTGCAGTAATACAATGCTCATCTGAGGTATCAGGGTGCCATTTATAATTTTATTTCAGCATCCTAGGTCTTGGAAAGAGATTTTCAGAGGGTCAAATAGTCCCTTAGCATTCTTATTGAGGGGTTTCTTGCTGTTCCTTTGAAATGGCTGATTCTAGCTACTGTGGAAAGAAAGATACTCTGGAAAAATTCCTATGTTTTGGTAAGCCAAGAGACCAGAATAATAAACAGAAAATCATAAACATTACAAGCTAGCTCTGTGCCAGGGGTTAGGCATTCCTGATGCTTTGTATTCTTCCAACAGTGCAAAACAGCCACAAATTCAAGATGTGATAAATAACAGAAGAATTTTGCTTTTGCTAAAAGTGATTAAACAATTACTTTTATTGAGTCAGGCTAAAGCTGTTATTAAAAATTAGTGTTGTTAAAATTATAACAGTTAAGCAAGCCTTTTTTGATCACAAGTTAGGCATATGGTTGGGCATTGTGTGGAGCTGGGCAAGCAAAAGGATGGGGGGTGTTGTCTGTGGTTAGGTATCATGTAAAGAGGAATGGAAGACGGCAGAAAAAGGGTTAAGCGAAGATCTCCTGATGAAGAGGAACCTGGACTTTGCTCCCCCACCAGCCCCCACCCCCGGAGGACCACCAAGACCACTAGGGGGAGGAAGGAGTTGGGGGGGAGGAAGCGGGGAGGGGGGGGAAGAAGGAAATCGAGTGGACTTGTTGCTTGACGTGGCTGTGTTGTACTGTTCTTTGTTTGATTTCATGTTTAAACCGAAGGTTACATATAACATTGCAGTTGCCTCCCCCGCTCAGCAGCTGTCTGTTTTGTGACAAAAAGTAGTGAAGCAGTGGAAAAGTGCAGGGAGAGACAGCCCTGAAGAAACCAAGAAGAAGTAACTGCGCAGGTACAAAAAGGAGGACTGGAACTATAAAAAGAAGCCCCTGCTGGGGCAGGTTATGCCATTGCGCCCAGCGCTGTATTCTTTGCTCCACTGACTTTGTCCCCAGTAAAACTTTTTTTTATATATATGTGGGCTTGTTTCTCACAAAGACAACTTGCATGTTTTGCTCTTGCCTCCTACTACAGGGAAAGACCATTGCTGCCCCAAAAATTTATCCCCTTGCATATACTTTAAATCTATGATGAAAGGACAAGAAGGAGGCCCCTAACCAAGTAACAAAGAAGCATACTAGTCTCTATTTCTTTTCTGTTTTGCAGTGCCATGGTTCCCAAGAAGTATCCAGGAGCTGGACAGGTTTGCCAATCAGATCCTCAGCTATGGAGCAGAACTAGATGCTGATCATCCTGTAAGAAACAGATCTTTATTTTTTTAACATGTTTCTAGTTATTGGGACCAGATGTTTCTCTCATTTACATTTGCTCTGCTTTAAGGCAGAACTAGTAGACCAGGTCTCACATGGTACAGGACAAGAAGGGTACTACATTTCTAGGGTTAGAATCAGCCCAATCCCTGGTTATGAAGTAAAGCAGACCAAAGGTTGCTTTAATTTGAGCAAATACCAGGAGACCTTAAAAGTCACAGTGGTCATCAGAGCACAGGGCCACCAAAAGGAGGATACCTCTACTTTTCCCAGGTGGCTCTGATGTGGTAACTTCAGACTCGTTTTGTGAATGACTAACAACAAAACCTTCAGAAGCAACATATCATTGCCCAGAGGTAGGAAGACTGTTTTTTTTTCATCCTTGATTGCATACACATGATTGAGCTTAGTGCCTTGTTATGCAGTTGTTAAATCTGACATGATTATTGTATGGTGAGACACAACAAAAGAAAAGGTCCTTGTTTCAAAAAGTTTGTGGTTTAAATAGTAGGGTTGGAAAGTTTTGTTCATTGGCGTAGCTGATAAATTTATTCAGCGTTTTTTTAGTTCTTCCACAAACAAGACTACTTTCCATCTTTATTCCCTCTCCAAGCAAACAACAACTTATTTTCATTTGTCAAAACACACTGAGTTCCATGCAGTGCAACAGAAATTGCTGCTATTAGTTTAATTGAGATAGGGTGATTATAAATAAATTGCATGCAGTGCAACAAAAATTGCTGCTATTAGTTTAATTGATATGGGGTGATTAGTCATTCACTACCTATTGCTTAAATCGAGATGTGTTATGTATCATGTACAATGATTCATGATGTTCAGTGTGGTCATATGAAAGGCAGAATGAAAGGAGATACACTGAGTCAATGGCCCCCTTGTGTGTCATGTGGGAATAGACCAAGGTTGTATTTGAAAAAAGAAGCCAGAAAAAAAAAAAAAAAAAAAAAAGATATTGAAAGGAATGAAACATCTCTGCTCCAGTTCCTAGAATTAGTGAGCAGTTTATCCCTTAAAAATAAAACCCAACTGCTGAGGTAAATAAGTGTAACAGTACATAGGGTGCAGAAAAAAAGAAATTAAAGGAGCCTTTGATTTTAGTAGTTAAGTGATATGGGATTTAATCACAAATACCTCTATGCCAAATTAATCTTGGACAGTGCATTTTTTAGGCCACTGGCTGTCTCTTTTTGACTCACAGTCTTAGATCTCCACTTTACTTCAGCTTGGTTGTGTTTCATGACCCCTCAGTGCTGTTGTTGCTATTTGCCCTGCAGAAGTGTGTCCTAGCTTGGAAGGACATTTCTGCACTTTAGCTGGTAAAGACACTCCTAGCCGTGAGGACCTTTTAGTCTAAATAGCAGGCACACTGGGATAGGAGAGTGGTTATCCAAGTTGAAGGTTTAAAGACTATATTTCTTATCACTGGTTTTATTGGCAATTAGCTGCAAAGGTCAAGCTCCCAACCACAAGGTCTATTAGACATTCTCTGTAGTAATTAAATCCCTTCAAATGGTTGAATTTGTAGTGCAATTAGGGCTTCTTGGCCTGGTAAGTGCCTACTGATCTTCTAACACTTTGAAAATGAGCAGCTTTAAGCCTGGTTCATGCTGAAAATCCATCTAAAAAGTCTGACTGAGTTGATGAGTGTGTTTCTAATGTGTTTTAACTCTGCTCCTCTACATTAGCCCATCTGTGCCAAGAACTGCAGCAAGCTTCATGAGAAACCACAAGGACATGGCTATCTAAGTGCCATTAATTCAGCATATTGCTCTTGCGGGAGCACCGTGTTGGTGCTGTAAAGGACCTTTTTTCCCTTTTTTGTAGCAAGTGGAAATAAGAAAAAGAAATGACTTGGGGGGGTAAGAGGTGCTGGGGGGGTAAGAGGTGCTGGGAGGCTGTGGTTGAACGGCTGCTCTGGTGGCCCTGCAGGCTGGGAAGGAGCGGTGCCCTGCGTGAGCAGAGCCAGGCAGGATGGAGGCAGCTTCCCCAGTCACTCTCCTGCACTTCTTGGACTGCACCAGCCATGCCTGAGGGTGCTCAGTGAGAGGAAGTTGTTCACCGTCTGCACTTACACAGGGACTGACCATTGCTGTTTCTTTTTAGGGGTTCAAAGATCCTGTGTACAGGGCCCGGAGGAAGGAGTTTGCGGATATTGCCTACAACTACAGACAGTGAGTGCTCAGCACGTGGGCAGAAAGCAAGCCCACATCTCCTGCCCTCTCCTAGAGCTCTCACCCTGCTGGAAAGCCTTATTTTTCCACAAGCATCCTCCTGTTGTTGTCTTTTCTCTGCCATGTGTTTAAATCTTCCTGTTCACACATTTATCCCCAAATCGCAGTAAAACAAAAGTAAATTGTTCCAGGCACACGTTCAGAAGAGAACATCACCTCCCTTCTTTCCCCACAACACCCCTCTTCCCTGGCTTTGTTGTCTAATTGAGCAGCAAACTCCGTTGCTACTACAAAGACCTGAGTATTGAATAAAGCCGCTTCTGCTATTCTCCCTATTAAATCAGGGCTGGGGGAGGAGTGCCTATCATTTACATTAAAGAAGGAGCTACACACACTATTAAAATAATAAATAACTTATGGTGCTGATGCTAATCCAGTGCTTGATAGTCTACTTTTATCATGTCTGACCCAGCTGCAATCAGCAATTTAGGCTCTAATTTCCCATGAAAAAATAAATGGAGAAGATAAATTCAGTTAGAACAGGCTTGCTTGATTGCTTTCAGTGACCAGATCTGGAAGAGATAAAATTCTCTTTCTGGAGCGATTCACACATTTATATCAGGCCTATTGGGCCTGATTCTTGCTGAGACTGGTAAAAACTGTGATTGCAAAGGATAAAGTAACATATGTTGTACATTTAGGGCTCCACTTTGTACAGAACTGTGATGAAGAGATAGTCCCTGAACCAAAGAGCTAATAATTTAGATTAATGTCTCTCAAAATGAGAGACAAAATTGGACTGATTGATGGAAAGTGAAAAAAGTCAGGAGCCCAGTTTATAGCTAGGAAATTTGGATAAGTCTTTGTGGCCAGATGTGGATGGATCTAATGTTCGTTTATAGGTATCACACAGAAGATTTACCTTTCCTGCATAATGGATAGCAAATTCTGGTTTCTAGTTTGCAGGCTTCCACCAAATTTTACATAGAATTGAAACAAAAAGCATGTTAACCACCCCCTCTCCCTAAAATTCAAACTGAAACCATCTTAGGAAGATGAAACCATTATATTCCAAGATTTAACTAATTAATATTTAGTCTTTTATCCAGATATTATCCTCAGACACATTGGAAACAGAGCCTATACAGACCTAGAGCTACGTCCAAAAAGTACAATTTATGTGAAGTAAGTTCTTGGACTTTTCAATCAGGTTTTTCAGTAACAGAGCAGTAAGTAGGGTGTGAAAGCCCATGTCTGGGCTTCTGGGGCTTGTGGAAAGAAGGCCTGAGGGTTTTGTGACTTTGGGTGTTGATTCAGGAAGGCCCAGATGGATCTGTGATGTCTTTGCCCTGGGTGCTACCCCTGGCAGACATACCTTTCAGGGTCTACAGTGTGAAGTAGAGGTCAAGGGGGTGTCTCCAGCATGGCACAGAGATGTAGAGAACCAGGCAGAAGGAGAGGGACAACTAGAGTTATCAGGCTTCATGGAAAGTATGTGAAAAGGCAAATGTGCTTAGCTTGTAAAGGTTCTACCCAGCTACAAAGGTGAGGTGGGTTTGTGGTTGCTTGTCTTATAATCTTGTTCCCACCATCAATTTCATCCTCTTCTGTGTCCCTTCTTTTGCACCTATTTTGTCCTCTTTACTCCTGCTGTTTGTCTCTCTACTCTGCCTTTGTTTTTTTGCCTTCTTTCCTGATACATTTACCCACTGTTTTTGTTCAGTGCTAAATTTCTCTGACTTCTCTTTTCTTTGCTTTTAGTTTGCTTTCCTTTGTTTCTGGCCCTGTTGATCCCTGAAAAATTTTAATTGAAACTTGAAAGGTTTTTAAGCCATAACTTCCCCCTGTAGTCCTGTAAAATGGTTGAGGATTATTTAGGAGTGCTATAGGAACAACAATCCCACAGCAATCCTCATAATTCAACATGCTGTTTAAAGCTCCACAGATCAAGGAGGGCTGATACAGAGAGACAGAAAATGATGGTGCTCCAGAGGAGCTGCCCTGAGGCTCAAGGAAAAAATGAGGGAGTGGGAGATGGTGGGGTGTCATCAAGAGTTTAACAATGGTCTCTGGGGCTTGGAAAGCTCCAGCATTATTCCAGCAGTGATGTTAACCCTATTAAGCTACTTAAACCCCTCTGATTTTTGAAAGCTGCTGGATTCACCTAATGGCCCTATCATTATTGCTAAGGAATTGACTATTCACAGGAGGCCAAACTACATTGCTTGTGATCGTCTAATTCCTGCTAGATTCAACATGAGCTAAGTGCATGGGGGCCCGAGGGTGGGATTTGACTCAAAATTACTCATTATAATTATAAAAAGTCAAACTGTCTGGAGTCTGCATCTGCTACAACAGAAAGCACAGATCAGAATTTCTCTGCCCCTCCAAGAAACAGAGTTTTCTGGAGCTGATGGTTTCCCTGTTGTAACCAAAACAATGAATGTAATGTGTATTAGAGCAAGAAATTCGACAGCTGCTCCATATCTAGAAATGCAAATAACTTGAAGTCAACAGACAGCAAAAATTTTCAGTGGAACATCCTGATAAGACAAATAAGCACTAATTTATTTTTACCATGATAATGCAAGGAGTTGTCTAAAGGCCAGTATCTCAGCTGAGGTCAGTAAAGTCCTTCCCAGCCTCTGACCACGGGCAAGCAAGGCTCCTTTTCCACCTGCTTGTTAGACCAAAGGCATGTCCCCTCCCGCACCATCAGCTCCTGGACAGGCAGTATAAATCTCCGGAGTATGATGCTGGTGGCATAGGACACTTTCTCCGTCGCTCCTATGGAGGGTATCCATTTTCTTTCCAGTGGCCAACCTATTCCTCGAGTCACCTACACGGAAGAAGAAAAAAAAACGTGGGGCACTGTCTTCAGGGAGCTGAAGAGTCTCTATCCAACTCATGCTTGTTATGAACACAACCATGTGTTCCCACTGCTGGAGAAGTACTGTGGCTATCAGGAGGACAACATTCCCCAGCTTGAAGATATTTCAAAATTTTTGCAGAGTAAGTTTGAAGCATATAAAAAAACCAAATCAAATGAAAAACTTCAGCTGTCAGTGGGGGTGGTGTTTCCAGGGATGGAAAAGTAGTCCCTGCTTTATCATGGCTCTCTATGGTGCTTAGACGCGTCACTTACCCTGTGTCCCAGGTCTCTCTCTAAAACTTCCAGGGGTACGATAGCACAGATGCTCAGCTACTGTGATGGTGGTATACATGGGTAGAAAATTCCCTGCTCTTTCACAATTAAATTTTATTTAACATAAGGAGAACGAAGAAAACAATCAGCAAACTTTTTCCTCTGTGGGGAGTCTGGATAAAGACAAATCAAACACACTGGCTGTTTTTAATATGCCATTTTTTTTGTCCTTTCAGCCTGCACTGGATTTCGCCTGCGTCCTGTTGCAGGCTTGCTCTCCTCTCGGGATTTCTTGGCTGGGCTGGCGTTCCGGGTATTCCACTCTACACAGTATATTCGCCACGCGTCCAAACCCATGTACACACCAGAGCCGTAAGTACTTTGGCACAGAAAGTACGTAAGGTTGCAGCAGACTATCAGCAGGGTCAGCCCTACTGATAATAACCATGTGGGACTCTGCAGTACTCCTGTGAACAGAGCTAATAAAGAGCAGCCAAGTGACTTCTCTCTTCTGAAAACATTTACAGAAGATTTCTAGTATTTTTAACAAGCTGCATCCTCTTCTGCAAGTTCTTATGGGACAGATGAGGCAGTTTTGCTACTGAAGGCATGCTTGCATGGTGGCTGGGACATGAGAGCAGTGTACAAAGGCCTTTAGCTTAGCTATTAGCACCCAAACAGTGATGTGAAATTTAGTGCAGAAATGACTCAACATGTTTCAAGCAAGCTTCTGGCAGCAAGATAGAGGAAGACCAGATCATTGATCCTTTCACTGTTTCAGTTTTATGCTGTAATGTTTCTCTCTGTCCCTGTCCATTGTCCTTTTCCACTTGTCATTTTCAAAACAGTTTTCTTCCTCTGCTTCATATTGTTTCAATTCTTCCCCTCTCTTACCTACTTCTTCCCACAACCTCCTTTTTCCCTCCATTTTTCTATCCCTCATTCTTCTGCTTTTCTTTTCTCTTTCTGCTCACCCCATTCTCATCCTGCACAAAGCCAGGCTAAAATGTCTTCCACAGACCTGGCCCTCTTGGGAGCATCTTATCCGTCTCCCCTTTCCATCTTGCTGAATCACTTCCGTGTCTTTGAAAAATCTAGCAGTCCCTAGGTGAGTTCTTCCCCAAACATGCCTGTCTAGCTGCCAACTTCAACTTATGATGAAAGTAGTCCTACCTGAGGAAGGGTGACCTTCAACCTCACAGTGGGAGGCTGTGGGCCTGAACAGGGACTAGAGTTGAGGTTTTGAGGTACATGTTGACACCATGGTGAATTGTTTTAGTAGCCTGAGCATCATCTAAAGAGGTCTCTTGTCCTTGACACTGAAAAGTCCATGTTCTTTCTGGGCTTTCCTGAGCTGGGCAGGCAGTTGAATGGATGGTTTTCTTCCATAAGGAAAACCAAATAAAGTATCATCCTTCCTCTGAGGGATGTATGATGATAAAAAGCACTGAAAACCCTGGACTGTGCAAGAGTTTCTATCCCAAGAATAATTTTAAAGCAAAATATTTTCCTGTGAGTCTTGAGGATTGTTTGCTGGTAGGAGCAAATGCAATGCACTCTTGACTATGTACTGACTCTAGATCATTCATCCAGCATTGCTGGACTTTTTCTGAATTAAAGTTATTCAGATGTCATGTTTTCCTGCAGTGATATTTGCCATGAGCTGCTAGGACATGTGCCTCTTTTTGCTGATCCCAGTTTTGCTCAGTTTTCCCAGGTAAGTTACTCAGTGGTTATAGTATTTATATAATTGAACACACCAGAGACTAAGTAATTCATTGGATAAGCCAAGAACTATGAGGAGTGGGGTGGCTTCACCTTTAAACATACTGTTTAAGAGTGGCCGAAGCGGATTTATTTATTGCTTGAAATCCTGACACAAGTCATTTAAGTGAACTCATACACTCAAACTCCAAATGTCTGTCCTGTGTTAGTTGTTTTTGTTTTTTTTTGTTTTTTTTTTTTTTTTAAGTCAAATCCTTTGCAAAGCCATCATCTAAAAACCTTTCTGTAGATGTTGATCCTTCTGAGCGAAGTTAAATGACTCATGAGTCAGATGAGTTATTGCCCCACCATGCAGTCCAAGTGTTAGGGAAAGTGGAAGGGTTTTTTTGTTCTCTATTGAAGCCACAGAGGATGCCGAGTAAAGTGAGGGACTATCTCAGCTGCAAGCATGGGAGAAGGCTGGAGAGGAGCTTTCTCTTTGGTAGTGTTAATGTCTCTGGAAAAGAAGCCAAACCTCTGTGAAGGAGTAAGCTTTTGGCTGCATCTTCCCGGAAAACATCAAAAGACACAAAGAGAGAAAGTCATAAAGACAGATAGACAGACAGAAAGAAAGAAAGCAGGCAAGAGAAGAAGGGAAAAAAAAAAAAAAAAAAAAAAAGAAAAATAAAGGGGAGGGAGGAAGGGAGGGAGGGAGGGAAGGAGGAAAGAAGGAAGGAAAGGAAGGAAGGGAGGGAGGGAGGGAGGGAAGGAAGGAAGGAATGAAGGATGGAAGGACGGATGGAAGGACGGAAGGAAGGATGGAAGGATGGATGGAAGGACGGAAGGAAGGATGGAAGGAAGGAAGGACAGAAGGAAGGACGGAAGGACAGAAGGAAGGGAGGGAGGGAGGGAGGGAGAGAAGGGAAGGAAAGGAAGGAAGGGAAGGAAAGGGAGGGAGGAAGGAAGGAAGGAAGGGAGGGAGGGAGGGAGGGAGGGAGGGAGGAAGGAAGGAAGGAAGAACAGAAGGACGGAAGGAAGGACGGAAGGAAGGAAGGGAGGGAGGGAGGGAGGGAGGGAGGGAGGGAGGAAGGGAGGAAGGGAGGAAGGAAGGAGGGAGGAAGGGAGGAAGGGAGGGAGGACGGAAGGAAGGACGGAAGGAAGGGAGGGAGGGAGGGAGGGAGGGAGGGAGGGAGGGAGGGAGGGAGGGAGGGAGGGAGGGAGGAAGGGAGGAAGGAAGGAGGGAGGAAGGGAGGAAGGGAGGGAGGACGGAAGGAAGGAAGGAAGGAAGGAAGGAAGGAAGGAAGGAAGGAAGGAAGGAAGGAAGGAGGAGGGAGGAGGGAAGGAAGGAAGGGAGGGAGGGAGGGAGGGAGGGAGGGAGGGAGGGAGGGAGGGAGGGAGGGAGGGAGGGAGGGAGGGAGGGAGGGAGGGAGGAAGGGAGGAAGGGAGGAAGGGAGGAAGGGAGGAAGGGAGGAAGGGAGGAAGGGAGGAAGGAGGGAGGGAGGGAGGGAGGGAGGGAGGGAGGGAGGGAGGGAGGGAGGGAGGGAGGGAGGGAGGGAGGGAGGGAGGGAGGGAGGGAGGGAGGGAGGGAGGGAGGGAGGGAGGGAGGGAGGGAGGACGGAAGGATGGAAGGAAGGACGGAAGGGAGGAAGGAAGGACGGAAGGGAGGAAGGGAGGAAGGAGGGAGGGAGGGAGGGATGGATTTGAAGTAGCATCCTGCTCAAAAGACAACCTGATGTAATTAGTAAGCACTCAGTATTGCTCTCAGGTTCTGCCCCTTCCAAGAACTGCAGTTTCCTTCAAGATAAGATCTACTTCACCTTGGATTATTAGGATTTGACATGGTGATGGCTGCTCCCATGCTTTTGGTGTGTGTGTGGGGTGCTCTGATTTTTGCACTGTATGGTTTTCACTGGAGCAAACTGAGAAAGGGACCTGGTTATATACAGTCTTGTGAGGCTGTTGTCTGAATTCAGCTATTGCATACCTCCCAGGAAAGTCTCCATTACTTCCCAAGTTATGAATAATCTCTTTCAAATCATGCTCTGTCATTCAGAAAAAAAAAACTCATTCAAGGCTTCAGGAAAACTGCTGCAATCAGGGCCCATCAAAACAAAGATAAATATTTAAGGTGTGTGGGTGTGACTGATCTACCTCCTTTTGACCATATCATTCTCTCAGATATTCATTGTAGACTTGACCAAAAGCCTGTCAAAGCAAGAGGAAAATTTTATTTGACCTCAATGGGCTTTGTACCAGGCACAAAGGATCATGCCTTGTAAACGACATTTGGACAAGATCCTTTGTTCATTTCTGGAGAGACTTCTGGTTTAAAATTGATGTTGCATGATAGGAACATGTTCTGTAAACATTTGTGTGTGGATAGTAAGTGATCGTAACATTTAAAATATGAGAAATTACATAAGACAAGACAGGAAGAATGTTTGCAACAAACAGCTTGAAGAATAATAGTTTATTGTTACAGGAAATTGGACTGGCATCTCTGGGAGCTCCGGATGATTTCATCGAGAAACTTGCTACGGTAATTTAATAAATGAGGGCTCAGTTTTCCAAAGCGCCCTGTGTTGTCATAATTCTACTGCCACTGAAGTCACTGATAGAACTCCCATAGAGTTGAATGGGAACAGAATGAAGTCTTTGCTTGGAAAACCCCACCCTGAAACAGTTGCATTAAAGGAAAATAGCTTTGGCACCCCTTATTCAAAGTGACAGTTGTGATTAAACACAGAAGCCTAGACAAGATTTCCTCCAGCACAAACATATTGGGCAAGAAGAGATTACATGTTACTACTTCCCCACAGAAAATTTCAGGAGGCAGCTTCAGTAGCAGTTCTATCTGCAAGTGTCTCTTCTATTCCACTCCACCGGACAGATAATATCCTCTGCAGTCAGTGTGGCTCACCTGAATCCTACTCTGAGACTACTGAGACCCAGAGTTGCAAACTTCAAACAAAAACAAGGATATGCCTATTAGATTAGCGTCCCCAGAATCTACTCACCTGGGCAAAGCGTTGCACCACCTTTGCTGATTCTGATAGATGAGGTGGTTCTTCTGAGTCAGAGCAGATATCCCTTCAAAATGACAGATCAAAAAGTCAAGCTAGGCCACACACCATCTTCCTTCAGTATTGCACTAACAGCCCATTCCCTCTTCTGCTGCTGCAGCTAGACACTCTCTGTGTGAAACAGGACACAAACTTCTATCAACTAAGGTTCAAACTTTAACTGGGTTGGCCAACCAAAATTAAATTTTATTGCTGTAGTTTCATTGTCTCTGCTCTGCTGACAAATGTAAGCACAGTAAACCACAACTGTGTTTGTCAGGGAACTGAACTGATTTGCAGGCACACTGGGTCTAGCACTATGCCCCTTCCAGGAGAAGAATTTCAGTCTGTGGGGACATTTATTTTATTTATACAGTTGATGTTTGACACATGGCAATATTTTAAATAGAAATATAAGCTCCAAACGTATTCAAATCAATGATGTGCACCTACTCTTTTTGATCAAAGAATCCTGTTTCTGTCTATTTTTCTTGATAGGTTTATTGGTTTACGGTGGAGTTTGGACTGTGTAAGGAAGGCGATTCACTCAAGGCATATGGTGCAGGGCTGCTGTCTTCATATGGGGAGCTGCAGGTGTGTCCTATAAAACAGCAATTCAAAGATTTTTATAACTGCTCGAATTTCTCTTCTGAATGTCTTCAGATCCTTATTTTGCTTCATACTTTGTGCATAGAAGTAGCATGAAATGTCATATTTCATTGAAGAGCTCTAATAAATGTGTCAGTGTATGCACACATAGGGGACTCATACCTGCTTCTTTCCTAGTGAGTGACATTGCCATTGTATTCCACAGGAGCAACTCTTTCCTGTCCAAAACTGGGTGGCATTCAGTATCTCTGTATTTCTTTCACAGAAAATTCAAGCACATTTTAACTGAAATAAATTTCTTACCTTTTCGCTCATAGTATTGTTTGTCAAGTAAGCCTGAGATTCAGCCTCTTGTTCTGGAGAAGACTGCCATGCAGAAGTACCCTGTTACTGAGTTCCAGCCTGTCTATTATGTTGCTGAAAGTTTTAAAGATGCAAAAGAAAAACTAAGGTAATCCAGTCATTCCACAGAAGACCCAACTTCTTTTCCATTACCAATACAGTGAATTCCATTGCCACAACAGTTCTTGGGTTGACAGTACTGTTTTGAGAGGCACTAGAAAAAGCTGTGCAATGTTTAAAGAGACTAAGCAGCTGTTACACTCAAAATCTTGTTATGGGCAATAAGGGGAATGTACCTTATACATGAAGCCAAGAATTTGTAGTTACTCTAATTGAGAGTTTCATCTGTATAACTAAAATGCAACAAAAAATTGTTATTAGTCCAATTGCAATGATACTAACAGTGTCAAAGCTAGCTAAGTAATGCAAGCCGAATCTTTTAACTGTAGTTAAAAGTTCTTGTACAAAAAAAAAAAAAAACCAGAACCTCCTGATATCTACTCCTTTTCCTCTTAAGTTATGCTCACCTTTACACTTTCTTTTGTGTCTTAAGTCAACAGTTCCAGTCTGGTGTGTGAGGGTATGGATTTGTCTAGTAATCAGCATCTTGAAGTCTTCAGAGCAGGACTGTGATGTTAATGAATGGAGTTTCTTCCTCTCTTTTGTGAGGCGTTGATGCTTCCTTTCTTCCTCCTAAGCCCAAGGTCTCCTCAGGGCCACTTTTCTGTTTTCTAACATGCTTTACATCTTGCTCTTTCTACATTGGTCTGCAAATCTGTGTTACTTCTGACTTTACTATTTATGTTAAATATTTTTTAGTTTGTCCCTTTTGCTTCCTCTAAAATTCTTTTTTTTTTTTTTTTTTTTTTTTCTCAGCTCCTAAGTTTGCTTTACTGTGAATAACAGACCAGTGGGGAGTTGTTGATAGTCCAGAAACCACTAACATTATCCTATGCTTGCACCTTTATGGTCTCTGTTATCAGACCATGCTAGTACTCCTTTATGCTGCATCATTACTTTAGGGTCAGACTTAGTTCACACTGTAGAGTGTAACTACTTGCTTTTCCTGCCTATATAAAAATTATTAATGATAGGCATTATAGCACACAACTATTCAGAATTAGGCAAAATTAAAACAGATTAGGTAATAGCTACATTGTCATTAGACAGTTGTTATTACAGCTAAACAAAACATCAAGCAAGCCTAATAACCCCAATCCTGAGGCCTCTGTGGTTAGCTTAATACAGAGCCTCCTCCTTGTTACCAGCAGTGTGTTTACAAGACTACAGGGCTACACAGTAAATCATTCAGTCATCTGTGACTCAAATACAGATTCAGTTCCAGTTCAACAGGACTTTGAAATAATTGTCCAAGTTCAGTTCTGGTTCTTGAAACAGGAATGGCTCAGATTGTGTTTTGGGTTCAGTTGGGTTCCACCTCACAATAATATTTCTGTTTAAAAAAACCCACCACCATATTTCTGGATGTTAGCCAAGCCACTGGGGGCTTGGCTTTTTCACTTGGAGATGCCACACAGGGACTTATCTCAGACCTGCAGTTTCTTCTATCTCTCTTTACCTTTCACAGATAAACACATACTGACACTCAAAATATTCTGCAGCCCCAGGCTCCCTGGCTCCAAGCTCTTCCTAGCTAACTCCCTTGCTGATTCCTCAGTTGTCATAAGCCTGCAGCATCTCCTTCTGCCCTTTTCTCTGGGATACACCTGAGAAAGATGGTCTTCTTTTCTGGTTTGTGCTATTAATATCCTGCACACAGTTTCTATCTTCTCTGTATACTTCTCCAACTGAATAGAAAGTTCATTGAGAAAGCAGAAGATGCTGCCTTACTCTATACAAACTATCTTGGAACTTCTTTTATTTGTTTCAGTGACCAAATTGGAAAAGTGGTTAAATTGAATTAGAGGTCTGGGTGTTGGTTCAGTGCCTGCATTTGTGGCTTGCACCTGAACATGTGTGTTTGTGTGTAATAGAAAACCTCACAGAAAAATTATTCTGAGGCTCACCTAAAATATTTCATCTTAAGGCTTTCATCTTCTAACTAGGATATTACCTTCAACTGAGATTTAGGAAGACCGCCTTCTAACATGGAGCTCTCCTCTTAGAAAAACTGGACTGATGGCACTAAATACTTTCATCATAGTCAACATAATTTTTTTTCCATTGTCACATCTTGTGGACTGCTCACACTGCACTCTATTTGAGACAATGGCCTTAGCTGATAATAATTAGGACTAAATTGAAGGAGCAATGTGGAGGTGGCATCCAGCAGACTCTGCTGTTGTGGGCATAAGGGATTTACCATACTGAGTCACAGCCTGTATAGTGGGGCTCCATAGTCAACTCCTGCATGCTTTCCTTCCTCTTCCAGCAATAACTTCAGTAATCCGAAGCAGATATATAAGCCAGTATCCTGCTGGGGTCTACAAGGAGCCTGGAACAATAGCTCTGACCATCTCATCCTGTTCAGAGTCCTCCTTGCCACAGTTCTGCGATTATGCAAATTAATATTTTCCCAAGATATCAAAATCTTAATGTTTCTGCCATGGAATTTACTATTTTGCAGATGTGAAGGCTGCAAATAAGGGATGGCAAGAATGCTGCTTCATTCCATTGACTATCTATCTGTCTTTGCAATGACCTAGAAACCACTACCAACCAGGCCAGAAGGTAGCACTCTGCTTGCTCCTTGATATGCCAGGATGGCATAGGTACTTGACTTTATTTTTCTAGAAATTGCAGGCTTGGATCAGAATTCCTATATTTTGCATTACTGAAAGGAAAATGAGGTTTTCAAGTTTGACAAATCCTATGTTTAGCTACATAGCTGGCCTATAACAGAAGCAGTGTTGCCATGCCAATAGCATAATTAGTCCTGTTCAGAAAAAAACAAAGGTGGTAAGGACAAATGCAGATTCAAGCATGTTACAGAATGCTGTAGGTTTCAGATCACTCGGCAGGAATTTCAGTTATTTCCTCTCAGAGATTTTCTTATTCCCCTCACCAACAAATGCACACACCAAGAAAAGAGTGAGTTACTGTAAAAAGGATCTTTTCAAGTTTGTATGTGTTTTTGTATTTTTGCCTCAGGAAATTTGCTCAAACAATCCCTCGACCTTTCTCTGTTCGGTACAATCCCTACACCCAGAGGATTGAAGTCTTGGACAATGCAAAGCAGCTGAAGAATTTAGCTGACACTATCAATAGTAAGGAACTACAGATTTGTTATCTTGAATTCCTCGAAGCTTGGACCAGAAATAGCAACCACAAAGCAGATTTCACCTGTTTGCATTTAATGCTCTGAGTGTGACCAAGATAAAGCAGCACACATTTTCTTTCTGGTGCAAAAATTGCTTCCTGATTCTAGCCAAGCTTCAAAATAGCATTTCCACTTGACTGTAGTTTGTTACATCTGAAATATCTAGCTTTAGTGGAGGTGCTAGGAAAGGCCAGAAGGCCTTGTGATGTATTCTGATGTGTTTCTCTAGCTGTTCTCAGTAAAGAAGAAAAGGAAAAGCTTGGCTTTAATCACATTTCCTTTTTCCATTCTAGCCCTTTTCCTGATACATTTTCCCCCTGACATTAGCTAGCCTGTTGAAAGCCAGCATCCTTGATCCTATGAGCCATCTTTGTATGGCTGATGAAGGCAAAGGGCTGACTTGACCGTACTCCAGTAAAACCCTAATAAATGTGTCCAGTCCAGCACTTTTTTACTCACCTTATTCTTTCAGGGAATAGGTAAAGGGTAAATATATACAGGAGTGTTAGAAATGGGTTAGATGTAGAATTAACTACTCCGATTATTTCTTTTGCAGGTGAGATGGGGATCCTTTGCAATGCCCTCCAGAAGATAAAATGAAGATTTGCTGTAACTTGCTAAACACTGGCTACTGACTAGAAGGTGTCATGTGCAAATGCCAGTCTTCATCTAGCCTCAGTCTATTATCTTCCTGTGTACTGTATAAATGCTTATGTTATATATCTTAATTACTATAGATTAGGAGATAAATAGGCATCTACAGGTGACCCTTAACTCTTTTGGCCTTCAGACACTAATCCAATTTTTCCCACTAATGCATAAAAATGATCTTAATTTTGTGAATCTGGGGAAAGCCTCCATATCTCCTGTGCCAAAGGTTAGCAGAAAGAGGAGATCTCCACCATGCAGAGCTATAGTCTGCTGCAGCTGTGAGGTTGCATTACCAGCCTGGTCCCAGGGGCAGAATGACAACGACTAACGGACTAATCCACCTTGCTTTCTCTCACAGTCATTCTTCCCTCAGTCCCTCATATTTGTTCAAGGTTCACATGAATTCCCAAATGCTACACCTTTCAGGGGGTATACATATACTGCTTGGCCCTCTGTATCTCTACTTTTACAGACAAGGACCAATATCCTGAAATATTTTTTTTTTTCCTAAAAATGTGATGTTGCCATTGATCCAAAGCACAGATGTTAGCAGAGAAGACAGCAAGTGTGCAGCAGCCTCATTAGCAAAGATTGATCACCGTGTGTAAATATACTTACTGTATTTGCACAAGCATCAATCCCAAAAAGGTTTGTGCAAGTCAAGAACGCAATATGCTGTGATGTGTCATTGGTCTGCAGAGAGGAGTCCCTCAGCAAGACACTGAGACTGCTTATCCAGAGCATAGAGTCTGTGCCTCAATACAGTACCCACCAAAAAACCCCTTCAGGGGAGAGTTACATAAAGGCAAGTCTGTGTGTTTTTTTGCAGTTGGATATGAGGTCAGTTTGTCAATACTTTGTGCAAGCAAGAAACCATGCCAATGCTTTAGCAGGGCACCAAGACCTTATTAGTCCACTCTCAGAGTTGTGCTGGCTGTAATTTTGTGTAACACCATGGATTCAGAGCTGATTCAGGATCAGTCAGTTTATGGAAAGAGGAGACCTCTCTTAATAGACATACTCAGCTACTCACTATGGAAGACTGATGTGTGAAGGCTACCTTGTGTCCTGTGTGTATCCTTTCCTGAGAGTACTTTATTCAGCACTGCTACAAGGTGTCTCCTAACTTTCTGGACTCACAATACTAGCACCTTGGAAATGGAGAAGTGGTTCTTAAAATGCAGCTGAAGACATCAGAGCCTTCCAACTCCTGACTCACTGTATCTGTGGCTAGAGCCCCCACCAAAGCTATGGAAGACCTGGGTTAGCTGTGTCCTAGACTGAATGCATTCAAACCCAAATATGACGTCTTTCAAGAGAGCCCCTGAGTCACGGTTCTTTTTGGAGTGTTCTTCCTTCTCCCACTTGAGCTTTAGTTTCCATTTTTTGGTGAAAGCAGTTTTATTTTTCCTGGACTATAGCTTGACTGAGGCAGCAAATGGAAGCAAGGTTGATTCCAACTTAACACAATGGTTGAGCCATGGAGAGAGAAGAGCTTTGCTGCTCAGGAAGTTATTTCTGTATTTTGTCCAATAACTTTCAATCAGAACAGCTAAACGACCTCTTGGACTGGCTCACGTTTTATAATGCCTCCCTGTAGCTGTCTAGTTGAAGAAGGGAGGAGATCAGCACTTGTACATTGGAACAGAATGGAGCAAAACAAAGCAGAACAGTATTTCCAGCTTGAAACAGTTATGCATCATGATACTAACATGATTCAGGAGTCACATTTCTGTTAGAAGATCCAAAGATGGAAAGGGATTTGAAAGTCCATGAGTCTTATACCTACTATTGTACTATTCTTGTATTTATAGTTTGAAAATCAATGGAGCTTTAATGTAGCATCACCCTTTAGGAAGATACAAACTACAGCTGTTTCCATTATATTTATAGTGGATAATAACATTAATCTAAGGATACCAGCTGTAACCCTTTTCAATAGACATATACTTATGCAAAATGGTATCATTTCGGTGCTTTGAAGTAAGCTTTTCTATCTCTGTATCTTTTTTTCTTCCTTTTTTTCTCATGACAATGTCTGTGTAGATCTTTCAATCCTGCTTGTCATGTATTTTCAGTGTGAAAGTAGCCCATATTTTTTTCTCTTAATATAATAAGACCCATAAGGTAACTGTGTACCACAAAGAGACAATTTCATCCCAAGGGTGAAGTCTTTCAAACTAATGCTCAGACAGCTTTCCAGGATCCTCTGATTCTGGCTGTTGTTATGAGTGACAGCAGCAGTAAATCTATAGTGATATTGAGAACCCAGGATTCATGGATGTCTTTTATATGCAAGTGGAATAGTCAAGGAGTATTGATGCCACATGTCTGATTCTGTGTCCCTTAATGCAGGTTTAAATGAGCAATAACTCCAGCCAAAGCAGCGTAACATAGCTGTTCAGCAAGACTGAGAGTTGAGAAAAAGTCATTTTTTTTTTTGACTCAGTAATTTAAAAGAAGAAGAAATATACTGAAAGCAGATTTTCTTGCAAAGCCTTGATTGCTTTACCTTTACGTAGTCTGCGCATCTTTGTATGCTGGTCTGACTAACCTATCCCAAGCTAATCTTTTAAGTAAGCTTCCTCTCTTCTATCCCACTGTGATCACATTTCTTGATGTCCCTATCTCCAGCTCTGTTTAGGTGATCAGAGAAACCCTTTCATGAGGCCCTTCTCCTTTTCAGTGATCTTGGCCAAGGTCATTGATGGTGATGGAGGGAGGGCTTGACAGCACAGGTTACACAGGGAGGTGGTCTCCTCTGGGTGTCTTAAGATGCCTAGATCTGACAGCATACTTGGAGAAGGGACACTTTATTCCCCAAATGATGCAGAAATTATTGAAAGAGGGATTAAGCACAGGAAGAATCCACAGGAGTGCATTATTTTAAAACCTGTCTCTTTGTTGCTTCAAACCATGCTGGATGTTGGCAGAGAAGACATTTTTGATTCAAATGTAGACATTTAAGTTAACCTAAATAAACAGAAATATTAATGCTGTATCCATCTCAAATGAATAGCACTCTGCTCATACAAGGTGGAGATATCTGCAGTGGTAACAGATCAGAAATGAGCAGGTTGTGGTGATCAGCCATGGTCTTTTAAAGCACCACCCCAGGGGCTGCACAAGAGGGGGTGAGCCTACTCTTGGGGTGGGAGAACCCCACCTTCTGCAGAGAGAAGCTGCCTGTACCCATGGGAAAGATTGACATGCTGTGCTCCAGTCCTTGGAGAGCCCTTTAAACTGCAGCACCCAGCCTGAGACCTCTCCTCCCAAACTCCTAGAGGTCCCCAAAAGTGCTCAAAGCAGGATTCTGTGATGTCTCAGTAGAGCTGACTTACATGGTGGGTGAGGCCTTCTTGGGCTTCTCCCAAGCACGGATTAAAGTTGGTATTGGAGTGTCTACTCTCTGGTCAAGGACATTTCACCACCTGGAGAGACAGGGCTCTCTGTGCTAGTTCTGCAGTGGGCTGCAAAGTTGTGCTGTGAGCTCTGCCTGTGCTACTTCATCTATCACACTGGTTGGCGAGTCCAGTCTGGTTCTATAGAGAAAGCTCTGTTCATACACAGACCCATGTACAATCATATAGAGATGGGACTCCGACACTAGGGCATAAAGACAGCCATAGGAGCCTGATGTCCATGCTCCACCAGTCTTTGTGACCAGTGCCTTAAACATGCATCTTGAGCACTAGGGCTTTCGCCTACATGTTCACACATAGCTGGACTAGGAGAACTTGTGCCTTGTTGTTTGTGCCATGCCTGTGGCCTTCATGCACCCACCCTTCATGGGAAAGGCCCAATTTTGACTCAGACAGTCAGACTCAGCTCAGCTTGTTCTCCTTTGGCCAGCCTTGCCACCACAGCTGGGGGAGGGTGGGAGTGGGAAAAGCCTTTTTTCCCCCTCAAAGCCTGCTTCTTATCCCCCCTCCCCATTCAGTTTGCAGCTGCAATTCAGCCACCTCTAAAGTGCCCCCTGGCCCTCCCCGAGCCCCCTGGGCCATGAGCCGGCCTGGGGGCGGGGAGCCCGGGAGCGGGTTCAACACAACAGACAAATCCTGAGACTTGTACCAAAACAGGCAAGATACCTGTGGTGTATGAATTTCTCAGTCTGTTTTTAAAGGTAGGATTGGAGGAAATGGCTGCAAATCAAGAAGTTTCTATGCAGTTTGCAAGCCAACTTTTTTTTCTCATTTGCCAGAACTTTTCTCCCTGACTGGAAACTCCACCCTTGCTTTTTTTTCTCATTTCTTCTTCAGTTCTTTTGCCCTTATGGTGGCTTCTTTGGGCCAGCGTCCTTACTAAAAACAGATTTCTTCTCTTTGTTGTAAAGCTCCTGGGGGCTTATAGCAACACTTGCCTCTTTTGGTAGAAGTCTCAGGACTTGTCTGGGTTGACCACCGTGGACAGCACCCTGCCCTGCCCACAGGCAGCTCTGGGCCCCACTGGCCCCACAGCCTGGCCCCGCCCCCTGGCCCCAGCTGGCGGCTCCTCTACCCAGGCTGGCACTTGCCCCAGCCTGCAAAGCCCGCAGTGCCCGAGGTCTGGATGGGCCGGTGTTCCTCAGGACACTGAGATCTGCCCCCTGGGCACGGTGCTCCAAAATTTGGCCTTGGGTTTGCTTGCTTCAGCCAGACAATGGAGGGGGAAATCGAGACCTTTGTGGTGCTCTGTCTTGAGCCAAGAGGAAGCATGGTGCTGTCAAGGTTTCCGGAGAACAAAATTTGGTTGCTCTGTCATTGTCTTCCCTGTCCAGGGAGCAGGCAAGAGCAATATGCACTGGGGTTTGTGACCCAGGCAGGGTCATCTAAGGGGTACATCAGAAATGGCTCCATCTGCAAGGGGAGGACGGAGAAGTGATCTTTGGGCCTGCAAGATGACTTTCACAGGGATTCCAGCACACTATATCTTGGGTTGTGAAGATACAACTGCTCATATTCAGAAACGTATTGGTGGATGTCAAGGGATGCCATGTGCTAGCAGGAGCAGAGCTGAATGCACCCTGAGCTTGCCCTGACAGATGTGAGAAAGATGTGACCTTGAGTTTTTTGAGAGCCTACTTCACTGGAGAGAAAATCATGACAGGAACAAGTTCCAACAAAGGAACTTAGCCTAGAGGCAGCATTCAGCTCTTGTAGGGCTACGGTAGCACAGGTCAGATCCTGTGGGCAGAAAAAGCTCAGAAGTAGGCAATGAACTCTGACTCTGGATCATGTCTCTCAGGCATTTCCACAACTGCATCTGTGCAGAGGGGCACCACTTAGATTGGGCTAAGGTTTGGGGGAAGAGCCCATTTGGTTCCCTGGAGGCATGGTCAATGCAGAGAGGGCCCCAGTGAGGTAAGAGAGAGTGGGGAGGAAAGGCAATCTCAGACATTGTGCAGGGTGGTCAAGACTGGGAGATGTAAATGGGGATCTGGCTAATTGCCTCCCCACAAAGGAGCCCATCTCCAGGGTTGAACAGTTTTCAGATACCTTCAAACAGAGCAGGAGGGCTGCGCTTTGAAGTTACCTAGAGGAGGAGGGTTATCTTGGTCTCTTGCGCATATCCTACGCAGGCAATTTCCCTTGATGTGTCTGGCATGGCCAGCATAAATGTCCCTACACCTAACACAGTAGCAACCAGTTTGCTTCACTGCTGTCCAGCAGCTCTCATCTCACCACTCACATAGACGCACTGCATCTCCACTCCCACCACATCGCCTGGCCATTGCTCTGAGAAAAGCACTCACATCCTCAGGCAGTTTCCTCTCAACACCTGACAATTGCAATCCACTCCCCTGTCTCCCAATGAAGACTGACTTGGTGGGGATCCCAGGCCAAAAGGAAGAGGTCAGCAGAGAGAAGGAGATACATGGCATAGAGTCATTGAACAGGCAAGGCAGCCTGGACTCCAAAAGTGAGGATGGCAAAGTCACTCTCATCCAGACCCTCACCCTCTGCAATGTAAGGAAGACTGAGCTCTCTAAGGCAGCCAGAGTCTTTGAGGTACAGACCTCACCATCCATTTCATCCATCGAGCCCTCTCTTCTGTCCCTATTGCCTTCACCTCTCCCACCCTGCATCTCACCCTCCTTCACCCTTCTCCTGATACCTGCCCGACTTATGCTGCCATCTGCCTTCCCCCTTTCTCATTGTCCCTGTTCTGCTACAGCTGCTCAGAGAGGTTGGCTGGCCTCTCCAGGTAAGGAGGAGAGAGCTCTGGAGGGGAGCAGCTGGACACAGTCATTTAGAAGAATCATCATTTTAGGTAAGAGTTGTTTAGAGCAGATACCAACATATTACTTCTTTCTAGCAGTTGTGGTGGCCAGCCATGACTGAACAACAGGCCAGCATTTCAAGCACTCAGGATGTGGTGATGTTAGAAGCCAATGAATTTTCTCTGCATATTCGGCAAGAGATACAGAGAATACAAGAGCTGTAAACCATACAACCATTATATATACTAGGCACTTGAAGTATCCCTACCAGGTGCTCACTCTCATCTGTGAAAATGAATAATTAAAAGAAAAGTGTGGTATTTGTTACTTATTTTTAATTGTTAGCAATTATTTAATGATTATGGTGTTATTATACATCAATAGATCTGCCTTCATTCTGCCAGGGTTTTAAGAGTTACTGAGCCACTCGTTTGTTTTTTCTGCACAGATGAAATGCTACAGTCAACAGTATCGCATCTTTCATCTCCATCTACCTCTACCTAATTCTACAGTGTTTAATCTTTAGCTCTGCCTGTATTTTAGCTCCTTCTAAACTGGGCATTATTGGGCTTCATCACTCAACATGCATTTCATGTTAATACCTCTTTTAGTCACCTTTCAAAGGCATTGTAGAAGTGTGT